ACTGCCCTTGCCGCAGTGCTTGCCATGCCTAAAATAGTGATGTTACAAGTGGATTTGGAGAATATGCATCTCCTGCACTATGCTAAGGACCCACACCAGCTAAAGTATCTTAAAAAACTTGATATTTATAAAGCCATCCAAAAGGGAACAGCAGTTAATTATAAAGAAAAGGATTCTATCTCATCCACATGAAGAGAGTTATTTCTAACCAATGATGAATGTAACACCCTAATAGTCATATGCATATGTTATTGTGCTTCATATTTTATTTTTTAAATTAAAACATTCTATCCCAGCTTTCATCTTAGTGTTCTATATCTATATTCTTTTAATTGAAGCTGATGATGTCCATTGTATATGAATGAAAACATTAAGCCAAACAATTGTCATAATTAATTGGGTTAATCAAGTGCTATATTAATGATCAACTATTAAGTAATTTGGTACTAGAGGTAAGCATCTCTTATTAATTTTAATAATTATAATATTTATGAATTAATTTAGAATATTCAGGAAGAAAAGAATTGATCCAGAGCAAGACTTGAATCTGCAACTCTTGCTTACCATGCAGATACATTGCCAGTTACACTACTCAGACCTCCAAGCAATTCCTCACTTCCAGAGATATTTAATTATCAATATAACTATCTACGGTTATTCAAAGCACCAACTGGAAACAGTTCCTATGCCCATAGCCTATGTACTTATCTTCTATGGCACTCAGCCAACTATCACTTTACCTGGCATGGTGTATATATACATATGTAAACATCTCAAAGGCAAATTGTGATCACTTGGTTTAATATTAATACATTAGGCTTTTGGATGTTTACATATGGATGAAAACAAAGTATTAGGATTTTTAATTTTGCTAGTTTTTTGGTGTGTTGCATAACTCTGCTTAGAAAAATAAAGTCATGTGACATAATCATGTAACAGAAATTTCTTGTCATTGCACTTATAAGTGCTAAATTCAATTAAATAAAATAACTTTCTCTTTGATGATTTTTTTTATAAATATCATCATTTTTAAATGTACCTGTTTTCACTTCTTGTCAATTGTCTAGTTTATGTTGTGGTGGATTAGTTAACACTAGGGTTTCTCCAAGATCCTGGCTGTTTTTTAACCCGGGAATTCTTCTCAACCTAGGAAATCCCACAAATTTCTTAAAAATTCACTTTTTTCTTATTTTGTGTTAAAGTTGAAAAAATTTTGCAAATAGAAAGTATAATTAACCCATAAACTATCAGAATACATTTGTATTTATTAATTTTAAACCTGTTAGATTATCCAAATATTAACGACTATATGAGTTCTGAGTTATCCTTCAATGTTAAAAAATTCTTTATCCAATTGAGACTAAATAGAGAAATTATATTGATTAATAATACTATTTATCATTTTTCTAAATTATTCTGTATAAGTTGTGACATTCCCATGTCTAAATTTCATCTATTTTGTACTTGTAATAAGGCACAAGAGTTACGTAAACAATATAATCTCGAAGCTTTGAACTCCAAGAATAATGAAAATTCTATGTATCTTTTCTTCCATAGAACTAAAAGTAATACTATATACTAACTACTATATAAACTACACACAAAAATATTTTGTTACTAACCAACCAAACATATTATCTTTCTACTTACTCCTTTGTTAAATATAAATTAATTTTTAAACCTGTTTATTAGTTTTTTAAACTTTTTACTTGTTATGGCATGTCACAGATTGTTAATAATCAACATGTAGCCTATTTGTGGCAGGACTCTGAAAATTCTTTACTTGTCAGAACCTGTAATATCTTGAATAATTGTGCTGATGCTGGTCTTAATTTTTAACCATGCCCAGTAGCTTCAATAACTGCATTATGCAAGATTATGTAAATTGGGCAAGGATAAAAACGAGTACGAAGTATGCAAGTATGAAGTTTTTCTTCATAAACCTGATTATTAAAGCCAAACAAACTACTGAATTATTGAGCTATAAGCTTGATGTCGCTATTAGAGCAGCCGAGGTAGACAAATCAAGAATACTAGACAGCAAAAGAAGTACTACAATGCATCTCAAAAATGAACTAGAAATCTTCCAGGCTACGGGTGAGAAAACACATGTGATGTTCATGCGAAATGTATGCAGATCAACAAAGGAAAGATGTAACAATAACTAAACAACAACAAACAAAGTATTTTATTTTGCGTATATGAACAGGCTCTTTTGGATTCCAACTCCACAGTACTTTATTACAATACAGCGTCAAACAATACTTCGGCAGACAATCACAAAATGTACCGTTCATGACAAGTATAAATGGTGATTAAAAACTATGACTAATTCCTACATGCTAATTTAAAACTAAGGAAAAAAAGATGATGATAGGGAGTAGAGAATCTAGAAAAATAGGATACAGTAAGGAGGGGTTTTGCTGGACTTCACAGTTTTGTGTGGGATATCATATTAAACCTTTTTCTGAAAAGTCTGTCACCTTTGTCGATCTGCATACATTTCTCCTCGCACCTAGTTACTGAACTGTTTCTTATCATAACTACAATAAGCATCCAATTCTCTTCTCAAACTCTCTCGAATTCTTCAGTTGTTGCCTTTTGTGATCTGGAGCACCACATCAGTGACATAACTAGGCAGGTGAAACAGGTGCACCCGCACAGGTCCCCCTTCCAAGTGGGCCCTGTGCGGGTGCCAAAATGTATGTATTTGTTTTATTATTTTCCCAAACCTAATTAATTAAGGAGCCTAAATGCAAATTCTTGCACAGGGTACAGGAATGGTTAGTTTTGGCACTGCACCACATTCAATGTCTGTCCATCTCAGGGTCTGAGCCAAAGAATGTCCTTCCCTTATCCCATCGACCCTAGGGTCTCTTTTCTTTCATTTTTCTCCATGGTTCTAAGAATTGGTCATTCCACCAAGGGAAAAGAGTTAGAAAGGAAAGTTTTGGAAAGAAGAAAAAACAAAGAACAAAGAAGAGGACTAAAATTATACCTAAATTAATATATACAGTACACTAATATGGTGTACAGCCACACACATAACATCTGTCTTCTCTTAAATGCATTAAAGATGATTCCACCACATCAATTGAATTGGAAAGGTCATTCTCGGTAACGGGACTTTTCATTATTAAAATAAGGACTAGATTGAGTGATTGGAGTATTGACCATCTTTGCTTTTTAAAATCTTATTATAAAAATTTACAATAATATTTTGTATTATGTTTTATTTAAAAAATGAGAATTACCTTCTAAGTTAGAAGTTTGATCTAAATTCATTTTTTCTTTAAATTTTCAACTCAATTCAAAGGCATTTTTGTTGTAAACAGTTTCCAACAAACTTTAATAAATTTTTTCTATTTGTGAAAATTTCTACATAATTTAAAAGTAATTTTTTATACGTATTTTACAGAGCATTATTATTATTTTGGAGGTNTTTAAATTTTCAACTCAATTCAAACACATTTTTGTTGTAAGCAGTTTCCAACAAACTTTCATAAATTTTTTTCTATTTGTGAAAATTTCTACATAATTTAAAAGTAATTTTTTATACGTATTTTACAGAGCATTATTATTATTTTGGAGGTTGCAGGACATATTAAGTTACTTAAAAAATGAAAAATAATTATATCATTCGATTTTAAGAGTTTTTTTAAACTTAAAAATGATTATATCCTGGGATAAGAAAAAAACTGGAAAATGAGAAACCCTAGTTAACACATTTAAATTTTTAATTTAAAACTTGATTTCATTTTGTTATTGAATTTTGCTTTAGTTTAATTCTATTTGCATTTTAAATAATATTTATATGTTAAATGTAATTTTAAATTAAATTTAAGCTATTATTTGTTTCCAAAACATTCAGGTTTGTTTCATTTTCAAATTGGCCTGAGATGGGCCAAAAAAGAAATGTTTCTTGATTATAATAAATTTTAAATATACGAAAAAGCAGTTTATTTTTATTTCTTACAATATGATGCAAAGGTTTGTTCAATTTTTGAGGTGAAGTATTATCAAAGTCTCTTCTATGTGGCATGCAGAATTGTGTTCATTCTCAAAATCTGTTTGATTAATTTTGACTAAACTTTACTACTTTCCATTAGTTGTGATGAGGAATAAAAAAATGTAATAAAAAATGGGATCCCTTACTTTGTTTTCAGGATATAAGATCGTAGCATGAGCCTGCATGATGAAGTGATGCCATGTGATGTTCCATGGTCACTACTATGTCTTCTATGGGCTTATAGAATTGGGTTAGTTCTCAAAATTTAATGAGCTGATTTTTATAAAACTTTGTCACTTTCCATTAATTGTGATGAGGAATCCAAAAATGTAATGAGGGTCCATTTAAATATAAGAAATAGGAGTCTATGACTTTATTTTCAATGTACAATGTCTATGACAATGTATATTGAAAATGACAATGTCTGTGCTCTCTGGCAACTGAGTGCACCTAATGGAATTTAGGTCTAGGGGTCAAAAATAAAAACAGCATTGCATGTGCCTAATGGAAAATAGATGCAAAAATAAATACAACACAAGAACAAAACAATCAATGGAAAGTGCTTTATTCTTGGATTGCCTCTCTGTGTCAGCAAGGGCAAGGATTGTCTCTCTGTACCCAACCAGTGCAAGGATTGTGTTTCCCATAGCCAGCAGGTATTATACAAGGATTGCTTTTTCTGTGCCTAATAGGTGCAGGAATTGCTTCTTTCTATCCAGCTTTGTCTCAATTCTATTGCGATACAGCAAAGTCATGCAATCAATGTCTTAGTAAAATGAAATAATCAGTATGTGTGATGATCAAAAAGTAACTTTACCAAGTCCATAGTTTAAATAATCAAAGTCCACACTTTATATATAAGATTGTATGTTTTCATTTCAACAATTAAAATATTGTTTATGTTATATGTTTGTAAAGCTATTATATGATCACTCACATATTAAAACATCTAACTTTACAAATAAAATAAAACAAATTATTTCCTACTCACACTTTCACCAATTATTACTCTTCGTGAACATGAGGAAGCATTATTGGTACACATATTTTCATGCATACACCAACTACACGCCCAGGTACTTGTTACACATGCTTTACAGCTAAATAAATAAAAATTTATATTTACTATTAAAAAATATTTATATAAATAAAATAATAAAATAGTAGACAATATTGTACAGAAGTTATCTGAAAACATTATAATATTCTAAAATTTATTCAGTTATAAGACTAACTTTTAGTTTATAACAAATAACAACATTTTAAAAATTTTACAATATTCATAATTTAGTTTTATACTTTTCTGAAAAGTGTACTTGTAATAAACCACAATACTACAAATATCTAAGTAGTAGTACTGTGGTTTATTTAGTTTTATATTTATATTATACTATGACACTCATATTTGTCAAACAAAATAAACTGAAATTTACAAAAATAATTTTAATAAATGTTTTTAATTTTGATCATAGAATGGAACAAAAAGTAATAAAAATATGCATATTTAAAAATATATTTGTAACCATTAAACCTAGAATATATAAGATCCATGGCATGAGAATAGAAGAGAGAATATATGTTATATACTGCATATCTATATATATATATAAAAATGGACATGTATGTCCTATATTTCACTTTTTCGCCAAAACTACACATCGCACGTGAATGGTGTTTGTATGTGGTGGTAGCCCCAAGTCTCCATTCGTGCATAGGGGTGGTTGCGTCTCGATAGCTATAAGGGTGCGGGAGATATGAGGCTGAAAGTGGTTGAAAGTGGCTTTCTATTTCGAATGTTTTGTTCGAATTTGTTCGAATTAAATTCGAACATAAAATTCGAATATTGGTTCGATTATAGAACGATTGTAAACGTTCCAGAAACGTTGAAAATAGTTCGTTTGACTAAACATAAAAATTCTCTAATTAGTCTGGAAACGGGGGACCTAATTCTTGCATTCTGTGAAAACGGGTAAGATTAGCTATAATGTAATTATCTTAATCTTCACTATCGTTACTTTTTGCCCAGCAAAGCGGGTCCTTGCAGCTAGATTCTAGATTACTTAGAAAAACAGTCTTTTATATATAAAAAAAACTATATTACATACAAATAAAAACCCAGCAAAGCGGGTCCTTGCAGCTAGTATGATATATAAAAATGAGGAATGTTGTCAAAAACCGTTATTTATGGTAAAGAAAACCAAGCTTAGTTAAAAGGCAATGGAAATATACAGATGTTTCTAAAAAATATAATGACAATAGAGAATGAAGTAAAAGTCCAGCAGAATATCAATATCAGGTTCATAGAAAAAGTTTAGAAAAATGAGAAAAAAGCTAGCATGAGTCATAGGATCAAAGGAACTTTGTAATACAATTTCACTTGTAAAATAAATCTAGATTAAAAATAAATTTAAAAACTCACGCCAATGTTTGTATAACTTATGGATACAAATTCACTGAGTTCAGCGTTAATAAAGTTCCTTTAGTATTAACACAAGCACTTTCGACGAATGTATAATCGTCGTCTTCAGGTGAAAAGAACAAATTTTAACAAGACAAACGTGCAGGATGTTCCAAAGGAACAAAATATTTAAATTCAAACAGGCGTCCAGAAATTCTGTTAAGAACGTGCAACTAATTTTTGATATGTTTGAATTTTTATATTTTACGATGTTAGCAGCGCATGCGTGGAAATGCTACCGCGTTGGCGATACGATGTTAGGCGCGTTCTCGAGCAAGGCTACAACCCGTTATGGCCCAGAACGGAAATAATTAAATGCTGCAACAATCGAAGGCTTGTGTTTATCTGGGAAGCGCTTCTCACAGCTACTTCAGAAGCGTGCAATGTTCCTACCCTCAATCTACCCGGGGTGTGGATTGCCTTATATCAACGCCTAAAAAGCAAAACGCGCCTAACATCGTATCGCCAATGCGGTAGCATTTCCACGCATGCGCTACTAACATCGTAAAATATAAAAATTCAAACATATCAAAAATTAGTTGCACGTTCTTAACAGAATTTCTGGACGCCTGTTTGAATTTAAATATTTTGTTCCTTTGGAACATCCTGCACGTTTGTCTTGTTAAAATTTGTTCTTTTCACCTGAAGACGACGATTATACATTCGTCGAAAGTGCTTGTGTTAATACTAAAGGAACTTTATTAATGCTGAACTCAGTGAATCCATAAGTTAAATCTAGATTATTAGAAAATCCTAAAAAATATTCCTATTAGAAAATATTTTCCTTGTATATAAGACAACAATGATTTTATAGATCAATTGACAACCTTCATATCCTGACATAGTTTATTATTAATTTTCATTTTATATTGCATTGATTTGAAATTCTTTATATTTTAATAGTTAAAAAACATTATATTTTATTGTATATAAAATAAGTTTTTGTTTTAAGTAATTTTTCTATTTTAAAATATTTTATATAAATACCTTTTATTATTTCAATTTACTTTATTCTGAATTCTTATTCTGTAATTTTAATGATTAAACCTAAAAATATTCTAAAATTTGTAGTTCTTCTGTTAAATTGATAATAGAGAAAAAAAATCTTTAATTCTTTTTTACTTGTAATAGTTAGAAATAATGTTTTAATTGATAACTAGTTGAGCTTATTATGCAATCAGAATTTATCTGGGATTTTATAATAGTGAATTCATGATTATTAACATATATATAAGTTCAGTAGAAGCACATTCTACGTAGGTTGCTACATACAAACATTCCACCAATAAATGTCTATCAATTGCTATCCTCCAATCATTGACAACTATATAAAGTTTATAATCTGTTCCAAACACATATGATTCAATGTTTAGAACACTAGCCTGAGGATGTCATTTTTAAGATGGATGAAAACATTTGCTTCTCAAAGTGAGTAGTTCTTTTCTATTGCTGGTTCTTTAGTTTGTGAAGTAGTGGATCTCAGATTAAGAGATCAAGTTGTTGCTTCAATGTAGATCCATTTCTTGTTGAATTGGTTGCCTCTAATAGAAATAGAATATATCCCAGATGAATTTTGCCTGCTTATAGGGTCTTTGGCATTTTGTAATAAAGAGAATACAGTTGGATTTCTCTTATGGACAACATTCTACATCAGAGCAACAGCTTGATTTCTTAACATGAGTGTCAAGGATTGTTCTGTCCAAAAGGGCCTGCTGACCACAGCAGTGGCAACATTTGTAACCAAAAATAATATATGGGTACTTCTCAATAAAACTAGTGTAATACACCTAATTAGGAACTGGACCAATCTGAAACATCTGGCAAAATTTACAAAGCTATTCACTATTGAATTCACCATTATAAAATCCCAAATAAAGTTTGATTGCATAATAAGCTCAACTAATCATACCTTGGAATATTGGAACATTAAAAAATACAAAAAAATTTGGGGGATTTTTTCTGTATGTATGGATATGTTAGTTTATGTGGGGGGCACGATTTTCTTTACTGGATTTCATGGGATTGATGCTATTAACTTTTAGCAGATCAAGGGGTGAGGAAATAGAAGGGGTCATGTGTCTTATCCCAAGTAAGGTCAAAGTTAATGAAGATTTTATTCATTATCATCATTTACAACTTTTTATAAAACTCATCCCTATCTTCAAACTTAAGCTTTTTGCCATTTTATAATAATTAAATATATAAAAAGTTTATAAATAAAATATCACAACAGATGGCAGCACCAAAATTTTAGTTGTTGCCAAGAAAGTTAAGCAGCTTGTTACTGGATTTTTTTAGAGTAATTTTAACTTTAGTTGAGAGTTTTCTTACAAATATTGTGAAGAAAGAAGGAATTGGAAAAATCAAAAACAGATTTTAAGATATTAAGTTATGAAATCAAATTAAAAAAGTACAGCTTATAAATATTTTTACAAACCAAATTACAATATTTTAATATTAAAATTTATCAAAATATTTTTAATGTTGCTTGTAAAATATTAAATTATTTCAATATTAATATAAAAAATGTATTAAATGCTAAATTCAGAAACAGAAATTTGAAACAAAGAAAATTAATTAACTTAATATATAAAAAGTTTTTGATTAAACAAGAAAACAAGTTTAAATTATGTAATAAAATTTCAAATCAATTTCTTGATACTGTAAAATTAAAACAATGGAAAATAAACAGAATACTATAAATTTAAATTTTTAAGAAGCTTTTAGCACATTAAAATCTGAAAATGTTTTACGATAGCTATATTTATAATCCTTAATCTATATAATAATATAAAACTTACGTTTTATGAACAGCACAATCATAATATACAAATGGGCGATGAATGAAATCTGTTTCTGTTTCACTTGATCTAACAGCAAGATTTACAATAACATGATCTGAAATAAATTTTGGTTTAACATAAATTTCACAACAGATAAGACAAAAATAATTTATTAATAATTTTATAATTATGTTTTAAATCTATATTAAAAATATTTTTAAAGTATATGTTTTAATACATATGAAAAAAATAAATTTTTCTTCATAAAAATGAATTTTTTCTACCAGAAAGAAAAACAACATATTGTGGAAAGTTATAAAGGAGAACAGAAAAGGATTAAAATGATGAATGCTAGTAATCCTTTCTTTTTGAATTCTGAAGATTCCATTGAACACATACAACTAAATATTATCCTAGGTTGAATTTCTATCAAATATAAGTATAGGAGTATGTCTTGTTTTAAATACATTTAATTTTTCCATTTAAATAATGATTGCTGTTTTCTATAAAGAAATCAAAATCTTACATCATTTTATATACATAATACTTTTAGTTTAGAAATTAATTTTTTCAATTAAAATAATAATTGTTGTACATTTTATTGAATATTATTCAGATTTTGTTTTCATAATAATATTCATAGAGTTAAATAATATTCAATTTCATACTATTTGTTACAGTCAAGTCCTAAATGTATTTGAATCCAGAAAATGGTTTTAGGTAATTAAATGATGCCTTTAACTTTGGTCATTGGAACATTTACATTAATTCTGCTCATTTAAAAATTATAAGATAAATGACGTTGAAAAAGATTTTCAAGGACAAAAAAGTCCTAGCCAATTCTCCATACATGACTTCCTATGTAACTACATCAGCAAAATTATATATTCAGTACTTTTGGAATAGAGTGCACGGGACTTTTGATTCACCCTGTATATATACAGGGTGATTATAATTAAAGTTCTGATTTTACAATAGTCTGAAATAAGAACCACTGGTCAGAATGACTTGACATTTTGCATGAATATCCATCCGTGAATTAATGGAATTTTGTTTGGTGGAAAAAAAAAAATTAATTCAAAAATTTGCTGCTATGGGGACAATTTGTGCTTTATTTCAATGGAAAGCAGAGCCGCCACTACTAAATGAATATTTGCTCAGGGTGGTAAATTTTCATAAATTTTCATGAGTGAAAATTTATGAAACCATTGTAGTAATGTAAATGAAATTAAACTATTTTAAATAAAATTAAAATTTAAAAACATTCAAAAATTTCTTCACACTTCTAATAGGTATGACATTTTAAAACAATTTTTCTTTTTCATTTTAAGTATAAGGGATAAAGGATAAGGGTGTCAAATGCACTTCTTGCCCTGGACAGCATAAACTTAGCACTGACTCAGGTGGAAAGCAATACAAAAGTAAAAAACATTTAAGGGTGATGTAATAAAAGTGTTCAGTATGCTGTCCTTCATATTGATACCAGCTGATATCACAAAAAAGCATGACCTGAGTATTTTTGTAGAGATGATGTGGATACGATGCTTGATGCTGACATTCAGAGTTCCACTAAATTTGTAATATGTCTATTAAACATTCTTTAGATGTCCCCAAAGTCAAAAATCACTTTGGTTCAGGTCTGGTAAATGTGCTGGCCATGTTACAAGAAAATGGCAGCTGATTATTCTGTTATTTCCAAAATGTCTGCGAAGTATCAGCTTCACTGGTGTTTGTGATATTGCAAATGTTTGTGATGTGCACATGTCATATATAAGTAATTTGAATCTTTTGATACAGCCAATATACATCACAGGTCTCCTAAGTGGCAAATTTTTGAACTAAATTTTTTTTCAAATAAAATTCCATTGCTTCACAGATATTCATGCAAAATGTCAAGTCATTTACCATAATATTTCTAAATTGGCAAAATCCATTTTACAATGCTTCTGATTAATAAAATAGATTTTACTAATTTAAGGAAGGTTATAGTTTGAGTTCTTACTTATTTACACTTAATCTGTTATCTTTGAGAATATACTATATGTGCACATAATATTTTATACTGACAGAAATACCAATGGATTTTTAATTGTTCTTCTTTTGTATGACCATTTGTTCAAACTTGGTATCTCTGAATATAACTGTGATAATTATAATTTAAACAAATAATTGGACAATTATTATTTGGTTTTCATATTAGTGATATATTTTTAAGATTTTTATTATTATTTTTTGAAATATTTTAAGAATTTATATACCTTCAATTGAAGGAATACTAGGTCTTGCAGTAACTAATGGTGTCATACAAGCTAATCCACTATGAGTTACACGAGCTTGAATTGGGGCACTATCTCCAAAAACACAAAGGTAATGTGCACCATAAGGAAGCTGAGGCAACTGATTAATTACTAATTCAACCTGAAACATAAATATTCATTTTTAGTTCATTTTAAATAAATTATAATATATTTTTATTGTGGAATAAAAACTCTAACATATTTTTCAAGACTTTAAGAGCACACGACTAAAAGAAGTCACTTAATAATTTGTAAACATTTATATATTAATTATCATCATCATCATCATTTTCATNGGTTCTTTAGTTTGTGAAGTAGTGGATCTCAGATTAAGAGATCAAGTTGTTGCTTCAATGTAGATCCATTTCTTGTTGAATTGGTTGCCTCTAATAGAAATAGAATATATCCCAGATGAATTTTGCCTGCTTATAGGGTCTTTGGCATTTTGTAATAAAGAGAATACAGTTGGATTTCTCTTATGGACAACATTCTACATCAGAGCAACAGCTTGATTTCTTAACATGAGTGTCAAGGATTGTTCTGTCCAAAAGGGCCTGCTGACCACAGCAGTGGCAACATTTGTAACCAAAAATAATATATGGGTACTTCTCAATAAAACTAGTGTAATACACCTAATTAGGAACTGGACCAATCTGAAACATCTGGCAAAATTTACAAAGCTATTCACTATTGAATTCACCATTATAAAATCCCAAATAAAGTTTGATTGCATAATAAGCTCAACTAATCATACCTTGGAATATTGGAACATTAAAAAATACAAAAAAATTTGGGGGATTTTTTCTGTATGTATGGATATGTTAGTTTATGTGGGGGGCACGATTTTCTTTACTGGATTTCATGGGATTGATGCTATTAACTTTTAGCAGATCAAGGGGTGAGGAAATAGAAGGGGTCGTGTGTCTCATCCCAAGTAAGGTCAAAGTTAATGAAGATTTTATTCATTATCATCATTTACAACTTTTTATAAAACTCATCCCTATCTTCAAACTTAAGCTTTTTGCCATTTTATAATAATTAAATATATAAAAAGTTTATAAATAAAATATCACAACAGATGGCAGCACCAAAATTTTAGTTGTTGCCAAGAAAGTTAAGCAGCTTGTTACTGGATTTTTTTAGAGTAATTTTAACTTTAGTTGAGAGTTTTCTTACAAATATTGTGAAGAAAGAAGGAATTGGAAAAATCAAAAACAGATTTTAAGATATTAAGTTATGAAATCAAATTAAAAAAGTACAGCTTATAAATATTTTTACAAACCAAATTACAATATTTTAATATTAAAATTTATCAAAATATTTTTAATGTTGCTTGTAAAATATTAAATTATTTCAATATTAATATAAAAAATGTATTAAATGCTAAATTCAGAAACAGAAATTTGAAACAAAGAAAATTAATTAACTTAATATATAAAAAGTTTTTGATTAAACAAGAAAACAAGTTTAAATTATGTAATAAAATTTCAAATCAATTTCTTGATACTGTAAAATTAAAACAATGGAAAATAAACAGAATACTATAAATTTAAATTTTTAAGAAGCTTTTAGCACATTAAAATCTGAAAATGTTTTACGATAGCTATATTTATAATCCTTAATCTATATAATAATATAAAACTTACGTTTTATGAACAGCACAATCATAATATACAAATGGGCGATGAATGAAATCTGTTTCTGTTTCACTTGATCTAACAGCAAGATTTACAATAACATGATCTGAAATAAATTTTGGTTTAACATAAATTTCACAACAGATAAGACAAAAATAATTTATTAATAATTTTATAATTATGTTTTAAATCTATATTAAAAATATTTTTAAAGTATATGTTTTAATACATATGAAAAAAATAAATTTTTCTTCATAAAAATGAATTTTTTCTACCAGAAAGAAAAACAACATATTGTGGAAAGTTATAAAGGAGAACAGAAAAGGATTAAAATGATGAATGCTAGTAATCCTTTCTTTTTGAATTCTGAAGATTCCATTGAACACATACAACTAAATATTATCCTAGGTTGAATTTCTATCAAATATAAGTATAGGAGTATGTCTTGTTTTAAATACATTTAATTTTTCCATTTAAATAATGATTGCTGTTTTCTATAAAGAAATCAAAATCTTACATCATTTTATATACATAATACTTTTAGTTTAGAAATTAATTTTTTCAATTAAAATAATAATTGTTGTACATTTTATTGAATATTATTCAGATTTTGTTTTCATAATAATATTCATAGAGTTAAATAATATTCAATTTCATACTATTTGTTACAGTCAAGTCCTAAATGTATTTGAATCCAGAAAATGGTTTTAGGTAATTAAATGATGCCTTTAACTTTGGTCATTGGAACATTTACATTAATTCTGCTCATTTAAAAATTATAAGATAAATGACGTTGAAAAAGATTTTCAAGGACAAAAAAGTCCTAGCCAATTCTCCATACATGACTTCCTATGTAACTACATCAGCAAAATTATATATTCAGTACTTTTGGAATAGAGTGCACGGGACTTTTGATTCACCCTGTATATATACAGGGTGATTATAATTAAAGTTCTGATTTTACAATAGTCTGAAATAAGAACCACTGGTCAGAATGACTTGACATTTTGCATGAATATCCATCCGTGAATTAATGGAATTTTGTTTGGTGGAAAAAAAAAATTAATTCAAAAATTTGCTGCTATGGGGACAATTTGTGCTTTATTTCAATGGAAAGCAGAGCCGCCACTACTAAATGAATATTTGCTCAGGGTGGTAAATTTTCATAAATTTTCATGAGTGAAAATTTATGAAACCATTGTAGTAATGTAAATGAAATTAAACTATTTTAAATAAAATTAAAATTTAAAAACATTCAAAAATTTCTTCCCACTTCTAATAGGTATGACATTTTAAAACAATTTTTCTTTTTCATTTTAAGTATAAGGGATAAAGGATAAGGGTGTCAAATGCACTTCTTGCCCTGGACAGCATAAACTTAGCACTGACTCAGGTGGAAAGCAATACAAAAGTAAAAAACATTTAAGGGTGATGTAATAAAAGTGTTCAGTATGCTGTCCTTCATATTGATACCAGCTGATATCACAAAAAAGCATGACCTGAGTATTTTTGTAGAGATGATGTGGATACGATGCTTGATGCTGACATTCAGAGTTCCACTAAATTTGTAATATGTCTATTAAACATTCTTTAGATGTCCCCAAAGTCAAAAATCACTTTGGTTCAGGTCTGGTAAATGTGCTGGCCATGTTACAAGAAAATGGCAGCTGATTATTCTGTTATTTCCAAAATGTCTGCGAAGTATCAGCTTCACTGGTGTTTGTGATATTGCAAATGTTTGTGATGTGCACATGTCATATATAAGTAATTTGAATCTTTTGATACAGCCAATATACATCACAGGTCTCCTAAGTGGCAAATTTTTGAACTAAATTTTTTTTCAAATAAAATTCCATTGCTTCACGGATATTCATGCAAAATGTCAAGTCATTTACCATAATATTTCTAAATTGGCAAAATCCATTTTACAATGCTTCTGATTAATAAAATAGATTTTACTAATTTAAGGAAGGTTATAGTTTGAGTTCTTACTTATTTACACTTAATCTGTTATCTTTGAGAATATACTATATGTGCACATAATATTTTATACTGACAGAAATACCAATGGATTTTTAATTGTTCTTCTTTTGTATGACCATTTGTTCAAACTTGGTATCTCTGAATATAACTGTGATAATTATAATTTAAACAAATAATTGGACAATTATTATTTGGTTTTCATATTAGTGATATATTTTTAAGATTTTTATTATTATTTTTTGAAATATTTTAAGAATTTATATACCTTCAATTGAAGGAATACTAGGTCTTGCAGTAACTAATGGTGTCATACAAGCTAATCCACTATGAGTTACACGAGCTTGAATTGGGGCACTATCTCCAAAAACACAAAGGTAATGTGCACCATAAGGAAGCTGAGGCAACTGATTAATTACTAATTCAACCTGAAACATAAATATTCATTTTTAGTTCATTTTAAATAAATTATAATATATTTTTATTGTGGAATAAAAACTCTAACATATTTTTCAAGACTTTAAGAGCACACGACTAAAAGAAGTCACTTAATAATTTGTAAACATTTATATATTAATTATCATCATCATCATCATTTTCATATATATATATATATATAAAATGAAATGAAAAAGTGTAATATATTAAATTAAAAATCTAAAAAGTTTATCAAAAAGAATTCTGTAGATCTAATTAAAAATGTTAATTTCAATAAATTTTACTGAATTTCTTCCTCTCCCACAAAGGGATATAACAACTTTAGAATTAAAATATGACTTAAAAAGAAATGAATTTCTACAAACTTCAGTTCCAAATAGACAGCCCAAATATATATTCAGATAGTAAACATTAAAACTATGGGTACGGTTGCTGAGGTAGGACAAAGTTGTACCTCTATTTGATCTGCAACAGTTTGATGAAAACTACCCACTGATCAGTGGATGGCTTATTGAAGTTTTCTATCCCAGAAAGTCAAGATTCGTCAGGTCGAGTGGAGGAGGTGAGAGGGGTCGTCGGTAAAGTGTCAGCAATACCCGAATTAAAGACACCATTTACAATAAAAACAAGAAGTTATTAGACGATAACATAACAACATAGCTACATTGAACTTATCTCGAGCATACACATGGAATTGGAGGGAAGCACGCTGAGAGAGAGTTTACATTAATGGATGTCATACCTCTACGAGTGGGAATCAGACAAGTTTGGGTTGTTGGGTTGAGGAATGGATAGCAGCAATGAGGATCGGCACGGGTTCTCAGCAATAACTGTCAGCAATGCTGCTTCGAGAATCGACGGTGATGAGGGATCACTGGTCACGAATGGTGATGACGGACCTGAACGCTGACGGCGATGTCTGACCCCCTTTTTCCATCGTCACCCCTCTTTTATACCTTTCGTCACGTTACTGTTTTTCGCCAATTACCGATTTTTTTGGATAAGTTCCTCGTGATTCATTTTTTGGTTACTGAGAGATAGGAAATGGGAACATCCTTTTCCAAAAAATTTCAAAAAAGGAAAAATAGAGCTTTTCTTTGTTTAAAAATTTTAATGTTGTCGTGTAATTTTATTTGGTTCGAGCCTCACAAAACTATACACCATTCTTTCTCAAAGTGGGCAATAATGCCCCCTTGTTGGCACTGGAGGCTTTCAGGGGGGCAGTAGAAGGCTCAGTGATTAAATATGAGTTTTATTTCTTCTCATTGAAACTTTCTTTTATCTCAGAAATAGGATATGGATCACACCCTATCTATCCTAACCATATAATAATGCATGTTTAAACATTATATTTGCAATAACTGTTTTTAAGATACACAACAGATGGTAATGTAAAAAGGTAAGTTAAAAAATATGGGGCACTAGATTTTTTTTAATCTCAAAGTGGTCGGTGGTTGAAATAAATTTGAGAACCTGTGCTATACACAAAATACCACAAGATCAAATAATAAAAAAAAACTTTTTTATTCCTTTTACTGGTTTTCCTGATATTTTCTGTGTAGTTTTATTTTAAACAATCAGTTTTTTCCTTTGGTGAATGTAGTAAGCATTATAATATTATATATCATGTTAGACAATAAAAACAAGATAAATTTATCACAATTGTTTAATCATGAAATAAAAATCTTCATAATTAATGTTTTAATATAGATAATTTAAGAAAATAATATAAACCATATAGAAGATTTTATACAAAATATTATCTTTTGTCAATGATTTAATGTTTTTAATCGAAATATATGCAGCAATAATCATGTTGCAGACAGAGAGAAATAAGTAAACAACAATTCAAATCAATGTGCATGCTTGTCTGCACAGTACATAAATTCTTGTGTGGCAACAATTTGAGCAGTGTGCGACTATGCATCTTAGAGGGAACAATGATGTATACACTACATTCNATACAAAATATGAGAATTTTAATTTAATGATATTGTAAATTCTATGTACAAAAATTCAAAAAGCTTAAAGATAAAAGATATTTTTCATGAACGAAAACAACAATTTATGGAGAACCCAAAAGGTACTTACAAAGTTTAATGCTCTATTAAATGGTAGGCACCAAAAGTTTCTGGCCTAACTATATTTTATACATGATAGGAATAAAATAAAAATAGTATCAGATAGTGCCATCTGTATGTGGACTAATAAAAGAGTTCTTTCTGCCAATTTGCATAAGTTGCTTGGAACATTCATTTTAGTTAGACTTGGTGCATTAATTTGCATAATATTTATCTCTTGTAAGACAATGCACCAGTGCACATGGCTGCCATTGCCAAGGCTATTGTGAAGGAGTGTGGGTTTGAGGAGCTTGACCATTCACCCTACAGCCTGAAACTAGCTCCTAGTGATTATTATCTGTTTCCAAAACTCGTTCCAAAACTTTTTAAGTGAAGAGTTGCAGGAGGTAGTTTATAAGTATTTTGCAGACAAAACAGAATTATTTTTTCAAGGATATCAAAATGTTAAATCCAAGATGTAATAAGGGTGTTGAACTACAAGGAGACTATATTGAAAAATGACAGCATTGTTTTATACCTATAAAATCAAAAACATAGGCCAGAAACTTTTGGCACCTACCTTGTAGAATTAAACAATGAGTCATACAAATCTATAAGGAGTCAAGTCCAAATTTTACTTTTATTTTTGGGATTTTTATTTAGTTTTCTTTATTATTTGTTTTGGGGATGTTTTATTTTGTTAAGAGACAAAAGCTCCACTGAACCACCAACTGAAAAAGACAAATATAAATGCAAAAAATAATACTCTAACCATGACTGACACCCATACTGCTGATGCTTCTAATCTACCCTGGCATCTCAGATTGAGTGATTTCCATATAGGAATTAAAGAATGGTCTCTTAACCCCAATTTTAATTGATTCTATAAATCAGAATTAATTTTTTGAAAATATTGGTAAAGACAAATGTCTAAAGGATTGCAAAAGAAAAAACTGACAACTATCAGTATAAATATGTAAATGAGTTGGAGTGGCATAGCTGTTTTTTACATCACATCAGAAAGTATAAAAGACCTGACAAGACCGAAGAAATACGAAGTGAAGTTCCTGAGCAAGTGCAATTCATGAGCAACAATTTTGAGGCAATTGTTTTTTCCCTCCTTTAGTATGATGGATAGGAGAGTTAGATCGTAAGACTTTTTTTGTGAATCTTGTAAATAGTTTTTCTTATTTATTGGAATTTTGTGAAGATAGTTCTAAAGTAATTTAAAGTTAATTTTAAGTTCCCAAGTGTTGGGAAAGTTTTATACATACTTGGTGTTTTTGGTTTTGGTTAGATAAAGTATCATTAAATTTTATAACTTGTACAGTTCATTTTTTTTCTAACTGATTTCATATTTATTACTATTAACTATTGTATATAGTTGGACATAAATTAATAAATCTAATTCTTTTTATTATTTTTTGACATATAGTCAAGTATTTATTTTGAACTTTTCATACATTAACTGATTGTTCCTTTTGATCAAATTTGTTCATTTTTTTGCTCATTTAAAAGTCAAGATCTGGCACCGACTGACCCTCATTTTCATTTTTGCTGGAGTCAGAAAATTACCTAGCATGCAGCATGTACCAGATCTGGGCTTCAAAAACATTAGACATTACAATCTTACTCAGATATTATTTAAATTAACATTTGAAACTATTTATATTACAATGCATTCAAAATGTATGTTCTCAGTTTCAATGAATTCTGAATTATGGAAATGAAATTAACTGATCAACTTATTCAGCAGATTTGAATCCTTGAGACTCCTTTTTGCAAAGATATTTCAAGGTTAGAGTGCACCAAATGAATCCAAATATTTAAAAGAAGCTCAAGTCATCTACTAAAATGATAGCGAAACAAAAGTTTTACAAAGTTCTTTAACGTGTAATAGGAAATTTTGTGATAAAATTACGAAAGATCAAGATTGAAACTGAAGGTAAACATATTGAATATACTGTAATGTAAATGTTCTGATTTGAATGATATTTGATCAAAATTTATGTACTCATTGTTTAGGTGTAATAAAGTATTAAACTTGGCAGATATCTTTTGGGCCACCGTATAAAGAGAAATTAAGTAATCAAACTCATATTTTTTATTGAGTTATTCCAATAAACAACTATTAGGTAAAAAATTATGAGAAAAACAAATTAAAATTTTTTTTTATATTGTTGAGTTTATTTAAGTTTATTTGTTTAAACTGTTACAATGTAATAATTATTTATGATAATGCAACTTAAATGATATTTTATTAATATTAATAAATCTATTATTTAATGTAATGTTGATATTGCTTACAGAAAAAGCTTTGCATTTCTTCTATCTGTACAAAATCATAATTTTGGTAAATTTAATTTAGAATTTTTTCATAAAATAGATTTTTTTATGGTATAATAATAGCAATTTTACATGTAATTTTTTTAATAAAAAATATTACATGTAAAGCTGATTATAGTTTTTTATGGTGTAATAATATTTAACACATGTACAGCAAATTAAAAACTTTTGAAAAATTTGGAGCAATCAATTTTCTTCATTAATATTTATTTCTTTACTTTTATGTAAAAGAAATAAAATAATATTAATTATCATAAAGTATAGTATTACGTCAACTGGAAAGTAATGTCGTTTCTGCGCAAGTCAATACTTGTTTATCATTTATCAGCTCATTATGTACGTCAAAGCTGTGCGAAAGATATTTTAAGGTTAAAGTGACTTGTTTGCTTGTAAATTAAATCTTAAATTTTTTTTTTTTGCAATTTTGGGTGAAATGGCCANGATCCACCATATGCAACATATTGCTTCAACAGCACAATACAGAAGCTTTTTTGATCGCTTGATCACTGAAGATGAAAAATGGGTCCTCTATGATAATCAAAAATGCAAAAGGCAGTGGCTCTCTCCGAATGAATCACCACAAAGTACTGCTAAGCCAGGTTTACATCCCAAAAGGTGCTTTTGTGTGTTTGGTGGAGTATTCGTGGAATCATTCATTTTGAAGTGCTGAAACCTGGACAACTGTGAATGCAGACTAAAGCACTATGAACAATTGGATCGAGTAAATCAATCTTTAATTCAAAAGTGTCCAACGATTGTCAACAGAAAAAGTGTTATTCTTCAACACGATAATGCAAGACTGCACTGTGCAAGACAAACCCTGGAAAAAAATTAATGAATTGGGGTGGGAGGCACTGACATTGCACCATTTGATTTTCATTTATTCCGATTGCTACAACACTTTCTATGTGACAAAAAATTTGAAAATTTGGATGATATCCAAAATGCCATCTCCAGATATTTTGCCGGATTGTTAAAAACCAATTGATTTTTATTGATCTGGCACTGAAAATTTGCACACTAGATGGTAAAAGGTTGTTTATAATGAGATTGATTACAACATTAATTAAAAATAAAAACAAGTTAAAAATTTATTTGTTTGATTTTAATGTAAAAAAATGACATTACTTTCCATTCCCCCTAATATATATGAAATGTGGTTAAAGTGACTTGTTTGCTTGTAAATTAAATCTTAAATTTTTTTTTTTTGCAATTTTGGGTGAAATGGCCAACCAAATACCAGAAGAGGTACATATCTGGCATTGTATGTTTTTTGAGTTTCACAAAGGTAGTAACATAACAGTTGCTACCAAAAACATTTGCGATGTTTATCCAAGTGCATTAGATGTTTGTAAATGCCAAAGGTGGTTTTCTAAGTTCAGACCCGATAATTTTGATCTTCCCAACTTGTAAAAAGACCAACAACTTTAGACAATGACATGTTAAGGGCGGAAGTGGAAGCAAATTCATGTCAGACAATCAAGGAACTGTCAAACATCTTAACCAACCTTGTTTGACCATCCAAGAACATTTGCAGCAGATTGGTAAAGTATGTAGAACAGGTGTTTGGGTCCCGCATAATTACAGTGACCATATTTTTTGGGGGAAAATAAAGGACATATCGAAGAAAATCAAAAAAATACGCTATAAAATTCATAAGTTTATAACATTCATTACGAAAATAGTAGCATACAACAATGCATACATTAAAATTTTAAACAATCTGAATTATTACACATACACACATTGTAAAAATTTAAATAACATTAATTTTGATACTTTTCAGTAGAATTAATTTTTTATAGCACCGTTTCACGCTTTAAAGTCATAAAATNCTAGTTAATCTGCAGATTAGCTAGGTAATGTACACATTAACGACTTTCGAGCTTTAGCGGTAACAGATATATCAAATAAGTAAGTGTCTGAAAATGCCTATTCCAGTAATAAATTTATCTAAAGTTTGCCTATTTTACCATATTTTCTGAAAATCACTTAATTTCTCTTAATGTTTATTATTAATGAATAGAAATAATTTTCATTAATAATAAACCAATAAATAAAGGTGATATTTCATTTGATGTGGGAGGGGTGAGAACAATTAGAAACAGACAATTTTTAAGTGTAGGAAGCTAAAAGAATTGTATGAATACAAAGTTAATTAATATAACAACCCAGTGCTAATGAGCTTCGAAATTGAAATTTCAAACAAATGAAATTTATTGACAATTTAAATTTCAAGTGTGATTTGTATTATAGTTAAACCATTTCTAATTGATCTTCTTAGATTCCTGCCTATTAAATGTTCAGAAATTGAAATTATGCTTTTGATTGGCTGACAATTTCAACTGTAAACAATTTCACACCTCAATTTGAAAATTAATCTTTCTCAAATTTTTAAATTTCTTACTGTACTTGGTTAGAAAACATTAGTTACACTGTTTTAAAATCATTATTTAAGTAGGTGGTTTCCATTTTGTACCTCTACTTTCCAACAAAGTTTTGCACATCATCTATTGTAAGTATATTTAGTAATAAATACTTTATTCACATTTTTTTTATTTAGTTGATTTGTACATATGCATAGCCATCTTTTTTAAAGTGGATTCATTGTCCAGTCTGGCTTGTCTGTAAAGAATGGTAGTTTCCAGTTATGTTTTTTCATTTATGAGTTATTTTCAGATGATCTCTTCAAAAATATAGAACTGAGATTTTAGTGTATACAGTGATACCCCAAACTTACGTGATAGGTGGGACCGAGCGATAACTGCGTAAGTCGAATTTGCGTAAGTCGGGGTATAATTTTGCAATTCATGTAAAATCCAAGTCGGATGTATGTAAGCTAATAAATGTTCTTGTTAATCTTATCTCGTCTTTCGATTAATTCACGGTTACAAGAAATCACCACATAGCGTCTCTCAAGGCTCTGTAGATATAACAAACACAGAAATAAATAACACAAAATAAATTGTAGCTATGTGTCGATTCCTCGCGACATGTCTGAACATGTAAGCTGAAGAATAGTGTGGGGGGAGTGAGTAATCAAGAGTTGCATGGCACTCAAACAAAAGACAAATCGACGAGATTTGAAAATTGCGTAACTCCGAAAAAGAAAAGAATAATTACAAAAGACAACTTTATAAACATATTAATATAATTAGACAAAATAATAGGATAAATAGCAATAATGGTACAGAAATGCACTAATCATGGCGAAGAATCTTAGAAAAAGGGGTGTGTCAAGAAGATAAAAAGAACATTCGGAAAAAGTGAAAACGAAGTGTTAGCCAAATGCAACAAGAACACATGTAAGTTGTGAAATAGTAAATAAATGTATAAAATATTAAATAAAACAAATTATATCATAAAGTTTTCATTATAAGTGAAATGTGAAAAAAATGGCGTTTAGATCAACATAATCCAATATGAAGCGCAAACAATATATAGAGGAACCTTCTTCTCGCCAACCATTTTTGTAAAAAGTGAAAATGAATAACAGCAGGCAGAAAGACTTCTC